AATCTGGAAGACACTCGTTATTGGTAGATATTGTAGAGCGATGAGGAGAGATGGAGAAAGTATGCCAAATGTTCATGCTGTTTTGGTTGGGTGGATCTAAATCCTTGTGTTTGTGACTGAGAAGTGACACCTACACCCCATCTCCAACACTCAGCATGGGCATAGTAACTTACAACATACCAGAATCTATTATTTTGTTTTGTCCTTTGCATTGATTTGAGCCCATAGGATAGGAGTTAAAAAACTAAGCCACCTCCTTGATAAGTAACCACACTATTTAGGTGGTCAAAGACAAAATATCCCATTGGATAGAAAGTCGGAATTTTAGAACTGAACCATGGGTATGCCCATGGATATGAGTTGATACAATTCCGTGTTTAAAACTGTATCTCACTGGACATGTTAAAGGTGGGGACTGTTTCTCATGTTTCATTGCTTCTCTTGTGACCAGAGTTGGTGCAAAAGTATTGAATGGCCAACTCATGGTTAAATAAAACATAAATAGAGTTACAGAGTCAATACATTACTCAAAACTAGGAAAAATATCTAGAAAGCTGCAGACATGCATGAAAATGTTAAATATATATATATATATATATATATATATATATATATATATATATTAGACTTGAATATTTTGAAACCAAAACAAGAATAATACACCTTGCAAGTCAGTGGGAGAGCAAAACCTAAACAATACACCCTGCAGGTTAAGAGTTCTCTTTGCAGTTACGACATTCAAGAATATGTTCCTGACTAACCTGTGTTAAATCCTTGCAAGTTAAAGTTTCCATTTGTAATTAAGAATAAGCTCCTATTTCTTAGATCCGATGTGAACTGCAAAGCAGGTTTTCAATCTACACAAAACTTTGTGAACCTATTCTCATGATGTAATAATTCTTACCCTTGACCTTGCCTTTCATCACATCATTCTACTAACATGTAACAGCCTACTCTTTGCCCAGGTAACACCTATCTCCCTACAAAAGAGACTTCAAGAGGCTGACAGGCTACTCTCTCTAATCTCTACCTGGGGTGGGAAAGCCAGCTTATCAGTCATGGTGCATCCAGAAATACAGCTTGCTTTAATTGAACAATCGTGGATTCGTTCTTTTCTCCTCAAAATTCTCAAGTGTAACATATTTCTGCACTCTCAAAAATTACAGCTCCATTTTACTCCAGTTAACATTTTGATGCACTCAGTAGGGAAGGCATTGTATTCAGTGCTGTAGAGATTAGCAGAGTTTGGGTCTGCGCTGAGACTCTGGTTTCAGATAGTATGGTTGTAGTTTTTGCTTACATTGTAGCTGCATTATATACAACTAATTATTTAAGCTCCTTATGTATACCTTCTCTGAAGAAAGAGGATAGTAAACTGCCTCCTTGGGAAAATGGGTTTGCCATAGTGAAGTATTGCCCAACAACGGAGGGACCTAGATGAGAAATAATTCTCCTGAGACTCATGCTAGTGTTAGAGACATCAGTGTGGAGACGGGACAGAACACAGTTGAACTGGGACAAAAACCAAGGATCCTGAAATTCTGGGGACCATTCAGAAAAAAGAAAGTGTGAGCCAGTCAACTCAACAGTGTATCCAGGCATTGCTGATATGCATAATCTTCATTTTTCTCTGGATATTTTAGGTGTAAATTACTAGAGTAGAAGGCCCAATTGTTCTGAGTTCTGTGTGCACCAGGCCATGTGTAGTCAGCAGAGGCAGAGGATGAGAAGACAGTTGGTAGTTGGATTCCACAAGGATGAGTAAGATACTGTGTCCACAAGGTGTTGCCATTGAACAGCAAGGAGACAGGCATATGTGTACTAAGTCACTTAAGTACAGATGGGATGAATTTAGAATTACAATGATTGAACAAAAGCCTCAAAATACAGAAATGGGGATGATTATTTTTACTTATAAAGAAATGTGAAACAAGTAAGTTTGGAAATCTGATCCCCTCTCCTGGCCCCACCCCTAGGGCATCTGTATGCACATAAGTGCACATGCACAGAGATGTACACACACACACACACACACACACACAATGAATGGGGTAGAAAATAGTAAAGGGTTAAAACAAGAAGCAGGAATGGAGAAAATAATACACAAATGAGTTTACAAGCTTTAGATAAAAACTGTCTGGCTACTGTTTCCTCTTTCAGATTATTTTGATTTAAAACTACCACATTACAATAATGAGGAATATATCTTTACAGATGGAATTTTAAAACATACTGTAGGCAGTTTTGAACAAGGAAGATGCCATCCTTCTGAGTATTTGCTTTCCATCTCTCTGCTGAGATAAATCCTCTACCAAGATTGAAAATTACTCCATGGTAATTGATTAAAGATAGAGTTCTGGCATTTAAACTCATATGACTGTCTAGTATTTCTAGGAAGTATTCCATTTGTCTTGGCCACTTCTGTCCTCTTATGTTGTTAGCCTAATCCCATGGGAATCCAGGATCCCTTCAGGTCTGCAGGCAGCAAATTTCCTAAGCTACCATCCTGTTCTTTGCCACAGGCCTTTGTTATAATAGGATATCTGATTCAAAGAGTCTCTCTAGATTCTGGTTAGGCACTTTTCAAAGAAAGTAAGATGCCTTGAGTAAGATCTTCAGGACTGTGAGGTCATCAGAAAGGGAAGGAATTTGAGCTAGCTTTTTTGGATGCTTCTTTCTACAAACGACCTTTACCTTCACTCTTTGGGATTAATGGTGTATAGTAAGGGCACATGTGTTTTCCAGCCAGAGGATTTAGAGGCATGCCTGTATTGTAGCAGGAGTAGCCATGTTGCTGGATTAAAGTCCCTCTACAGGTCTGAGTGTAACTACAGGAAGATGTAGATTTGTGTAATTGAGGAGGAGGTAGAAAGGACATTGTTTATTGAATCCTGGAGTCTATGGCTGGTGGTATTTTACTTGTGGGTTCCCTTAGAGGAATGGAAGGCTAATTCGTTTCTGACTCTAACTGGGTTTGTTGAGATTCAATCATGAATGGTAAAGTAAGGGTCTGTGAACTTCTCAAGGAAAAGCTACTGAGGCGGGCATATAAGGCATAGCAGTCAATATTTTAGTTATTATATCACTATTATTAATCTTTGGTTGTAAGAGGCCAGGGGCAATTCTGAAGATGGCATAGACATGGCATTTGAACTACATATTGAGTCTAATGCCCTAGTGATTTAAGTCTAATTTTAGGGAGATTCGTCTTGATGTAGACTTCCCTACTCTCTTCCTTCCAAGTGAGGTCATTTAAAGTCACAAGCATCATCACATGTCACTGTCCTTTCAAAAAAGAAATGGTAAAAGAGAGATGTTTGCATAGCAACACAACTTTGATATAAAGTTGGCTTAATCATCCTTTAAAAGACCAAAGGAAGATGAGAATCCAGGAACAGCGTTTTGGGAAAAGTCTACCGTACTGCTGCTAGTTCTCGTTTCCTCTTCTTTGCTCCTCATCTTTCACTCCCTACCCTTGGTCCTCCTGTCTCCCAAACTCTCCAGTATCTCAGCCGCACCTTTTCCTCATTCACATCACTTTCATGGGGACTTAAGTCATCTCCTGGTGTTCATAGATGAAAATCCGTGGGGCATGCTGAGGAGAGACTATTCAGGGAGAAGTGACACCACCACGGGAGTTATGAACCAGAAAGCAGAGGTTGTCTTGCTTTCTCCTATATTCCTGAATGTGAAACAGGCCTGAAACGCACAGGTGCTCAATAAATAGCCACTGAATAAATAAACACAGGCAAGGAATAAACTGTGATCAGTAGTTTCACTTTCTGGGTAAACTGATTATTCATAATTTAAATTCCCAAATAGAAATCTTTATTCTTACAAACACCAAACGAAACACAAAAACAGAAAGTATTTGGAAAAATATAAAGCAACCTAAGAGAAAGAGTGAGATCAAAACCAAACCTGGTCCTTGGTACAGACAGAATATCAGCCCCAGGCATAGGGAAACCTCGGCTCTGCCCTGTGATCTCGAACCAGCGCCACAGAGGAGCATCCATAGTCTCTAGCCGCCCCCTGCTGGTCTCCTGCCCTCAGACTTGCTAGGATTTAGGCACGACGCGCAGAGCCGATGACGTCACCTCGGCGCCTGGCCGGAGGCCGGAAGTCAGTCATTACTTCCGCCCTCCGGTCCCTCCTGGGCGTCTAGAGGCGGAAGTGAGAGGTGTCTACCGCGAGCTTTGGTAAGAAGGGAACGCGGATACAATGTTAGGTTCGGGCTGGGGCTGGGGTTGGGGAGCTGCTGTGGCCTTTGTAAGCGGGCTGCAGGTCCCTGCTAGACAGTGCAATGCTAAAGGCGATTGCAGAATTGAGGGAAGGAGAGGTTTTGATGTGGAATTACGGCGGGTTTGAGTTAGACTCATCAAATTCTACACTTCACCCAGCAAGGGAGCTCGGCATTGTGTCAGCATTGTAACTTTAGGGACAGTGCCTGCCCCTTAGGTTGTTGTATATATAGGGCTTTACGAAGTAATGTATGTGGAACATTGGGTTGTGGTGTTAAAGTGCGTTTGTGACTCCGCTGCCTTTCCCCCGATGCATGAAGGATGGTCTTTCGTTGCCGTTTTCTTTTCATTATGACTGAGAAACGTTTAGTTAGCGAGAAGTCATGCATCTCACAAAAATGATGTGGAGGTGTCTGGCCCGGATCTCTTTATTCTTTACTCTACTGGCGATATTTTTGCCTTTTCTAACCCTAACCCTTTTCTGAAGACAGCCAAAGTCTCTCATCCTAACGACAAATTCGATGTTGAAATGTAGTTCTAAAAAAAAAAAAACCTTCTCTCCGCGGGACAGAACAGAAGTCTTCCTCCTTGAACCTCGCTCATTACAATCACGGAGATTTTTATGATATTCACTAAATTTAACATTCCTTTAGAAAGTGGTTTATTTTTAAGAGGAAAATTGAAGTCAATTCGATATTTACTTTTGTTTTTAAAATTGCATTAGGCTGAATTTTGTTTTTAAAATTGCATTAGGCTGAATTTTGTTTTTAAAAGAAGATTGTGTTTATACAAGGCCTTACAATACAGCTAGAATTCAAGAAAATGACCCTTTCTGAAAGAAAAGACAGTTTAACAAGGTAAATGAGACTTTTAAAAAAGGTGTATTGTGTATAGGTGTGCACACTCGCTAGTGAGTTTGATACAACAGTAGCAAGTACTGTTAGGCAAAGGGTCTACCAAGAAGGTGACAGGAATATGAGAATTATGAGGAAATACAATAGGACATTTTTCTAATGCAGAATTTAGATTCATATAAAATTATATATGTATATGCATGTGTATAACATGAAAGCAAAAGAAAGACTTCGAGGGGATATATATATATATATATACACATATGTATACATTATTTGTTATGTCAATTAAAAATAATGAAAAGACAGCAAGGACACTGAGACGAAAATGGGTAAGAATGTTCAGAAAAAAATTGCTTTGTTACTGTTTTGAGTGAAGTTGAGTTGGTAAGGAGAGAAAAAACCCTCATAGGTGCATGTCACAAATGACGTTAATCAGAGGAGGGCTGTTTTATATGGAGGGCTGCATAGATGCTCAGTTCAGTTTTGGGCTTGTTGGTTCATTTAGAAGGCATTTGTTTGAAGGATACATTATATAAAGAGAAACAAAATCTACTTGTGACAGATCTAGCAGAAACCTTAATAGATTTTTTTTTATCCCTTTTTTAGGAATCTTGGCAAACCTTTTTGTTTCCTTTTGATTATCAATATTAGAATTTCTCCTGAATATTCTGCGGCATGTTTATCTGTTCACCATGGTGCTAATCATCTGAAGACAATGTACTGTATAGGGCAGTAATCTTTAAGCCTAATGCCTTGGTATATGTATGGTCTTATGTTTGGTATATTTATGGTATATGTATGACTGATTTTTTTAATGTACCTATCATTTAATGATGTATATGTTATGAAACTTATAAAAAGTAGAAATCTTAATAGGGTAAGACAAATACAGTTGAAAATTTATACTGTGTTCTCTCCTTACACCCTATTGGATCATTTTGCATGTTTATTTATGAAGCTTGTTATAAAACTTGGCTGATTGTATTATGATACTGTTCTGTCCGGTTATCCAGCAGAGGTCACCCATGTGTATCTAAAAAAGAAAAGGTTGTTGAATTGTACAAGCTAGAGCCTTCATTTTTTTTTTAGTATGTATGTTTTTACTAATTACTTGAGAATTTAATGCAGTGTATTTTGATCAGATTCACCTGACACCTCCAGTGCCTCTTAGATTCACATTGCATTCCATAACCATTCAACTTTGTGTTCTTGCTCTCTCTCTCTCTCTCTTTTAACTTCAGTTAGTATTGCCTGTATGCATTTAGTGATCTGGCCACCGCCAGAGTGTTTCATCTACTAGGGGCCACAGCCTTCTATAAAGAAAGGAAATTAAAGGAGGACATGGCTGTTCCTGGGTTTGGTGGAGGAGAAGGGTGATTGTAGATATGAGGGAGAAAACAGCCAGAGGCATCTGGAAGAATTTAGAGTGGATATGAGTGGCTGACTGAGCTGGGTGGGCCATGTGAGGAGAGAGGAGGGGACAGGAAGATAGGGGAACCTTGAGCAGTAGCCAAAAGGTAAAAGGGACCAAAAGGGCCAGCGTTGCCAAAATGGCTAGACTATGGAAGAGTACCTCTTCCATATATAATCTAGCCATTTTGGGAGGAGGGCAGCCCAGCCTCTGAGCTGGAGAATTCAGGGGTGGGATATGCTAGCCAGGAGGACCCTGTAACAGTAAAGGACTGAGCGATGATGACAGAACCTGGCTGCCAGGTCAGCTTTGATATTTTTAATGAACATTTCAGCTAGTGTTCTTGGCAAACTCTTGTCCCAGGTTTAAGACCTAACAACTTTGAATGAGAAAATCAATTCTTCCTCCTTCTCCTTTCTGATGATGGGGATTGAGTTCAAGTCCTTATGCATGCTAAGGATATATGATGTACCACTGATCTACCTTTGAATTACACTCCATCCCCTCAACTGTATCATTTTGAAGATAGAAATGAGTTTAGAATTATTGCATTGCACTCAAACAGTTTCGTAAACTGAGGTAGAGATTGATGTTGTTAGCTGTTGTCCAGAGATTTCTATAAGCATATGTATACATATATGCTTATATATAATATACAATTTAATATATAATGGTTATATTATATAATGCTTATATAATATATATTATATCATACATATTATTAAGTATATGTTAATATAATATATGATATAATTTTATATATAATATATAGACACATATAATCAGTGTGATCCATTTAAAGGGTATTATGAATCAAAAAAAGACATTAAAGATGGAAATTAGACAATCTGAAGTGTTTTAGAGTTTGAGATCAAAGTAGCCAGAAGCAAAGAAATCTAGTGTCTGTGGGCGGGGTCAGTTCAGACATCTGGCAAGTTGAAAGGCAAATGGTAATGAAAGTGCCATTTATTAGGAACAAACCAAAGATGCCAGAGACCAAAGAAAGCAGAAAACAGAAGAGATGGAGAGGAGAACTGATTCACAGTCAGAACAGGAGGCACAGTGAACTAAAAGAACAATACAAGGGCAGGGCAGCTTGGGGCAGCAGTGGTGCTTGTTCTGCTTCTCTGTAAGTCAAAAGAGGAAGAGCCCTAAGACCACAGGGATCCGAGGCGCCTCCTATTTAAAGAATCATAGTATTGACATTGGATATTTAACATATGCATTCACATAATATTATATATTAACATTACATGTCATTTACACAGCATTTGGAAAACTTTGGACTATCCAATGATTATGGCATCAAGAAACATCTGCTGTGTGAGAAGGAACTTTCTCTTTGATTTAAGAGGTTGGATGCTCCAATATTCAGCAGAAATTTTCCTCAAGTCAATTCCATTCAGGCTGTTTAATGTGGAATGCAACAGTAAAGGCAAGGAGTCTTTGGAGAATAAGGACCTACTGAACAACTTGCTCAACATGGGAGTTGATATTGACAGGGCAAGGAGACGACAGCCTGGAGTGTTTAACAGGGCTGTTACGAATGAGCAGGAGCTGAAGATATTCCTTCTATCCAAAGGAGCTAGTGACACAGTGATTGGTAGCATCATATCAAGATATCCACGAGCCATAACACGCACTCCTGAAAGTCTTTCAAAACGATGGGAACTGTGGAGAAAGATTATGGCATCAGACCTTGAAATTGTGAATATTTTGGAGCGTTCTCCTGAATCCTTTTTTCGGTCTAATGACAACCTAAACTTAGAAAATAATATAAAGTTCCTCTGCTCTGTTGGATTGACTCATAAATGCCTCTGCCGACTGCTGACCAATGCTCCCAGAACCTTCTCCAACAGTCTGAATTTGAATAAACAAATGGTTAAATTTTTGCAGGAGACCAGTAGATCCTTAGGTCACAATGATCCCACAGATTTTGTCAGAAAGATAATTTCTAAAAATCCTTCCATCTTAATTCAGAGTACCAAACGTGTGAAAACTAACATTGAATTTTTACAGTCAACTTTCAACTTAAACAAAGAGGACCTGCTGCTTCTGATATGTGGCCCAGGAGCTAGAGTCTTAGACCTTTCCAATGACTGTACCAAAAAAAACTACACAAACATCAAAAAGAGGCTGCTTTCTCTTGGACACACCGAGGAGGAGATACAGAGGTTTGTCCTAAGCTATCTGAATATGATCTTCCTGTCAGAGAAAAAATTTAATGATAAAATAGACTGCCTTATAGAAGAAAAAATTAGTATGTCACAAATAATTGAAAATCCAAGGGTGTTAGACTCCAGCATAAATACTTTAAAAACCCGCATCAGAGAGTTGTCACATGCTGGGTATGACTTGAGCACATCCAGCATTGCTCTGCTATCCTGGAGTCAGAGAAGATACGAAGCTAAACTGAAGAGACTGAGTGGATAGGACAGTATGGGAGGAGTCACAGGGAACCGGACTAGTGCACCACTGGTTCCAGCAGACTTTTCAAACAAGAGAGTTTTTTCTTTTTTTAATATATTTTTTTATTTTAAAATTTTTTTAAATAAATATTTAAAAATATTTAAGATTTCATTTATTTGTGTGTGTGTGTGTGCATGCTTGTGTGTGTGTGTGTGTGTGTCTGTGTGTGCTCACATGTGTGTACATGCCAAGACACATGTGGAGATTGAGGAGAGATGTTAGGAGTTAGATCTCTTTCTGCTGAGTGGGTTCCAGGGACAAACTTAGTTATCAGGATTGGAATCAAAGTGTCTTTATCCACTGAGCTTCTTGCTGGCCCAAGAGTTTTGATTTTTCACCACAGACACATGTATAATGATTCTCTGGATACTTTGTTTTATAGGACGTAAGAACTCACAGTTAATATGCTCAAATATAGTCCTTCTAGCTACCCCTTCTTAGTTTAAGTTAATGTTAACAGTCCATCATGTAGTGTAAGCTTTAACTGTTCTGTAGTAGTAGTGGTTAGTAGTAGTTAGTAGTAGTTAGTAGTAGTAGGAGTTCCTGAATTCTACAGTAGAACAGTATGTAGAAAGATTTTACAAAATGTGTTTTTGTAGTTTCTGTTTATATTTTAACAGTCAACATATTTGGGTGGGAGATACAGCTTTCTCAGCATTGGAAAGGCCCTGGGTCAGATGCCCAGCACAGGAATATTGATGGTTTTATATGTGTTAGTTCTGTCTCTTCTTGTTTTCAATCCCAAATTTTTCTTTTATTTCAATATAGCTAGTCAATTGTAGTTCAATTTCAGAGTGCAATGCCAGTAAAATAGTAAAATGTGAGTTTCCATTGTATTACACTTTACATTTGAATAATTAGTGTTCTCCCCTGACAGAGTTAACTATGGGTTGGTGTATTCTGATTTCTTTTATACAGGGTAGCTTAGAAGGTGGAATAATGACTGCCCAAAGATGTTAGTATATTGATTGCAAGAAGCATGAAAATTTGGTACATTGGCACGTTTGTATTAAGTTTAAACGTGGCTAAGCATCTCAGCACTTGGAAGACTGAGGCAGGAGTATTGTGAATTTGAGAGTAGCCTGGTTTACCATCTTGAGACTCTGTCTCAGGAATGCTTATTTTAAAAGTCTTAAGAAGGGGAGATTATCCTGAATTATTTGTATGAGCTACGTGTAATCAATCATACAGTCATTAAAAATGGAAGAAGGAAGTAGAAGAGGGGAGGGATGCTGTGTAAGAAAGATGTGTCTGCTACTTGTGGCTTCCATAAAGGAAGAGCCACAGGTAAAGGATGGAGGTGGCCTATACAAAGTGGAAAGAGCACAGCAACATTCTCCCATTAGCCCAGGGAGACCAGTATCCAACCTCTGCCCTGTAGCACAGCAAGAAAACATTGTGTTCTCTGAAGATTGTACCTGGGCTAACAGAAGTTTTCATTTTCTTAGTGAGGAGATTTTGGTACATCACAGGGATCTGTGGTTGGAATTTACCAAGCAAGGATTGGAGGCCTGCTTTTCCCTCCCTAGTCGAGGAGGTATACAGACAGACTTTGCCCTTTCTGCCTCTAGGAAACACAGGCTCTCATGAAGACCTTGACCTTGTGCTGAACCAGTGTTTCTTCAGGCAGGAAAACTAATGGGATCATGTGTGTGTGGCGGTGGACTGTGAGAGACAGCTGGTTACTGGTCGAATAGGCCTTGAACCCTGGAGACCCTCCAGGGACTAGAGGAGTTAGGCCTTGCTTCTGGGCCCCTGGTTCCTTTCACATAGCTACAGCCCCTTTTCACAGAGAAGTTTGTGGCCATCAGTCATGTAGCATAGGTAGAGGGTGTGACACAGGCCGCAGAACCTCAAGACATCACCATATTCATGAGATACCTAAAGGTAAGAGGGCGTAGCCAATTAAACATTCCTTCCCAGACCCTCCTCCTTGCAAAAGGGATTTAACTTCAGGCCTGCCTTGAGAAGACGGGGTATAGCTTCATCCATTTTCTGCCATGACAATAAATATCTTAAGACCATATTTTAAGACCTGGACTACCTCTCTTCCTTGGGGCCCACCATGGGGAACGGTGGAGAAGGTCTTCAACTACTGAGCCACCTTCTAACCTCCCACCGACTGAGACCCAGCCAGGCGAGTTGCCTTGACCAAGAGCCCTCTTCCGGCATGATGCAGGAGCTTCTTTCTCCCTTTCCCCCCTTTGGCTAAGGATTGATCCAGCCCGGATGCCCCCATCTCAACCTTTCTCTGGCCTCTCAGCAGCACCTGAGGGCCCAAGGGTCTGAGACCAGTTGGTTCCTGGCCAGTGGCCAGGGAATTCTCAACCCAACAGTTCCAGTCCCCACAGGGTCTCAGACTGTGTTCCCTCACCTCTGGAGGAGAGCCCTGCAGCTTCTCACAGCCAGTGCACACCCAACGCAGCATGGAGTGAGCACAGTCAAATTCCCTCTGCCTCTCTGAGCTCCAACTGCCTGGATAGGACAGACAGGGGACCCACAATTCAACCCAGCCCAGCAGGATCCCATTCTCAGTTCTTTTTCGATGGGTAGAGTATGAGCCCCTGCTTGGAGACATTACCTTCTTTTTGCTTCCCTGCTGGGTCATGTTACCATGTAAATATTAACTCAAATGCCTCTAACTGAATCATGGCTTAGGAGTACCACAGCCTGCTTGGAACACTGTATGTGACTGTATCTCGCAGACCTGCTCAGCATCTTCCAAATGCCTGCTGTTTTGATGGAAGCCCTATGCCTACACATCACATGAGCACAGGATATGTGTTTTCAGCTTATCAATCGAGTGTCATGTGGTAAACTTCACTGAATTTAAAGTCCAGTTTAGTGTGTGAGCCCCTGGTAACAAAGTTAATTATAGAAATTATAGATCACTGATAAAATATAGACTGATGAAACACTAAAATTACGTCCTAGTCATTCTGTGATTACTTGTGTATAGAACTTGATGAGCAGTAGGGGGAACTGTAGACAGCAGTTTGGCCATACACCCTTCTAAAGTCATATAACCACAAGTCTGGTGAGTGATTCAAACTGAAGACCATTTCATAGATATGAAGAGGATTTCAGTGGGTTGTTTTATCTTTAGGTTCTGTAAGCCTCAAGCTGGAGTAAAATAAATCATTATTCTTATATACAACTATTTTTTAGTTTAATAGCTACTTGTTGCTTTTTAACAAATACCATTTCTTTTACTTTATGTGTAAGTACATTATCTGCATATACACGTGCATGTCAGTAGAGGGCATCAGATCCCGTTACAGATGGTTGTGAGCCTCCATGTGGTTACTGGGTATTGAACTCTGGACCTCTGGGGATGCTGATGCTGCCGAGTATCCCCTCGCACACATTGTTAGCCTGGGAGAAGATCAAGATTCAGACTTCAGGGCCTGGTTTCTGCTGAATGTGTATCACTTTTGTATCATCATCAGCTTGAAAATCACAAGGCACACCACTGTACCTTGGGGGTCATTTGTGTTTACAGAATCACCACACTCTGAGTCAGCACCACAGTTGAGGATGTTAGGAGCCTGGAAGAGTTCAGTGGTAGCTCTGATAGCTTTTATTTGCAAACGTAACATTTTTTCCTGATTTCAAAATAACCATATGACTATAAAAGCTGGGAAATACAAAATACAAAAATAAGCACATGAAACACTTGTTAACAGGGAGACATATAGTTCTCTGGTTACTTTCCGAAATAATATGTTACATGTAGAAAATACTGCTCAGGAGCAAGGACAGGATCAGTGACAGTGGGGAAGGAGACAGGGTAGCCGGGGGTGGTGTCAGTGAATATGGTCACAGTGTATTGTATAACTGCACAAAACTGACAGACATAAAAGATACAGAAAAGAAAGAAAAGTCAATACATTATCAGTGTAACAGTGCCGTGTGTTGGTAATCCTCACAGTTATCCAGCAAACACTTTACCCACTGAGCCATTTCTCCAGCCCGTATGTAAGATTTTCAAAATGTGTTTTCTAGGTATTTGTCAAGAATGCTGAATGGGCTGAGAGTTTTAGCATAATAATCTTTAGCCTGCCAAAGATGTTGTCAGGAATTATGAGGACCCTGGGTCAGAAACTGAGGACTATTTATTATTCACGATGGTAATTATAGCTGGAGAATTAGGATTTGTATTGGTTCCCTGAATCCTATGTTCTCCAGGGCAATGTAAAGAGGACCAGGTAACGTTTGCCCATAGAGTGCAATTCATTGCCTAGAGAACACCTAAGCTTAGGAAACCTGTATCCTTTGTAATGGCCAGTAAGTTTGCTTCTACTTTGACACTCCAGAGGGAGATACTACATCTTCTTAGGCTGTTCACTGAACCCTGCATAAAAATAATAGAACAAATGTCTTTATGTATTAGGGTCTTATCTTGTAAGGTGTGCACAGACTTGAGATATCCTATCTATAGAGAACAGTTCTGACAATAATGTTTCCACCCTGACTTGGTATGCTTCTCTTGGTTGAAGTTTAACTAAAACAAACAGGTCTCCATTATCACACAGCAGCAATTATTAACTTATAATAGTATTAACAATTTATTTCTGTTTAAAATATTTTTCATTGTGTGTATACATGTTCATCCAAGTATGAGAGGACTGAGTTAGCCAGAGCCAGACTGACTCCAAAACAAGCTGCAAACTGGCAGTTTGTGAGATGAGGTCTAAGTTTCTGTTTCCCAGAAGTGGGAACCCAGATCCAGGAAACCGTAGACAGCCAACTACAGCCTTGGCCAGCCCATCCGAGGGAGGACACCATGTCATCTGGCCTGAAGTGAGAATAGGAAGCTAGAATGAGTCCTGGAATTCCTCTGACAATAAGAGCTGAGCCTGTGAGTCCTTCAGAGATCTCTCAAATGGAGAGACCTCTGTGTGCAGGAAATTCAGCTCATGTAGACTATTTGAGTCTGGGGCGTTGTTATTTGGCAATTCTTGAACCCTGACAGTATGTTCTGTATGTGCAGATTTTCCCCCCCTCCCTTTTTCGTCACTCCCCTCCCATTAGTCCTCTGCATTCTCCTAGATGGTTTTGCTTCTAGGTGCATGTCATATATGCATATATGATTTTAT